GTACAATTAGTCACAAATACAGTTCTCGAGTTTTTTTGCCCATACACATGAGTATTGTCTAAAACATGTCTTCTTTGTAGCAGCTAGGCCCTGCCACCACTGTGCTTGGCTGAGTTCACAAATCTGTTGTAACCTGTAGCTTCCCTGTCACTTCTCTGGCTCTCCTCTCCTGCTAAGCTTTGTTTCCTGGCAGTTAATTAAAATCTTCTGCCACTGCCATAGCTACTGCTGCTGCTGGAACCGCCATAGCCACCTTGGTTTCATGGTTTGGCAAAATATTGGCCACCACCACCATAGGGGCCAGAACTTCTGCCTCCGAAGTTTCCTCCTTTCATGGGTCCAAAATTTGAAGATTGATTGTTGTAACTGCCAAAATCATTGTAGCTTCCACCACCTCCAAAATTGCTTCCATCTTTACCAAATCCATTGTAGCCATCCCCACTGCCACCATATCCACCACCACCACGACTGCCACCAAAACCACTTCGACCACTAAAGTTTCCTCCATGACCAAAATTGTCATTCCCACCAAAACCACCTCCACAACCACCACCGAAGTTTCCAGAACCACTTCGACCTCTTTGGCTGGATGAAGCACTAGCCATCTCTTGCTTAGATAGGGCTTTCCTTACTTCACAGTTGTGGCCATTCACAGTATGGTACTTCTGAATGACAATCTTGTCTACGGAGTCATGGTCGTCAAAGGTTACAAAAGCAAAGCCTCTCTTCTTGCCACTGCCCCGGTCAGTCATGTTTTCAATCACTTCAATTTTCCCATACTGTCCAAAATAATCTCTTAGGTGATGTCCCTCCGGGTCTTCTTTAATGCCACCAACAAAAATCTTTTTCACAGTTAAGTGGGCACCAGGTCTTTGAGAATCTTCTCTTGAGACGGCCCTCTTTGGTTCCACAACTCTTCCATCCACCTTGTGTGGCCTTGCATTCATGGCTGCACCCACCTCCTCCACAGTGGCATGTGTGACAAACCCAAAGCCTCTGGAGCGCTTGGTGTTTGGATCCCTCATTATCACACAATCTGTGAGCGTTCCCCATTGCTCAAAGTGGCTCCTCAGACTCTCATCGGTTGTTTCAAAGCTCAAACCTCCGATGAAGAGCTTCCGCAGCTGTTCGGGCTCTTTGGGAGACTCTGACTTCGACATGACGGCAGCTGGGAGGGGACGCTTTAACGATGCTTACTCGGCGGCGTTCACGGGCAGAAAGCTAGAGGAAGGAATATTGAGCTCTTGTTAATGATATACACATGGAAGTGTCAGAAGGTTTATGGAAGTCTGCAATTTACTTTGAAATGCATCAGAGAATAAGATGACTTAATGAATTGATAGAAAGATTCATAGATAAATGGTTATCTGATTAACAAGTATAATAACCTGTCAATGGTAAAATCTATGTGGTAGGTCTTCACTGTATTCTTTCATCTTTGCTGCATGATTGAAAGTTTTCATAATCAAAATGAAATGTTGGGGGAGGATAACATTACTGAGAATGAAGGAGAGGAAGCTTCAAGGATTCATCCATCCACTTAAGCAACCATTAGGCTGGGGGAAAAACTGTCATCAACTTTTTCAGAACTCTGGAATCTAATTTAAAAAAACAACTTAGAGTAACTAAATGAGTGTTTACTGAAGAAACCCTGCCTTAAAAATTCAGTAAGAGAACATTATGGCATTTTTAATTACCCACCTACCATTCCTCATTTCTCAGCTGGGCATCTGCTGTGGGGATGGCAGCCTACACACCTATTATGGCTTTCTCGTGTCAGTCAAAGGGGAGAAAATAGACCTTGTTTTATAATTTTAAAAAAGACATTACTATAGCCTTACAGAAATAAGACCTTATGTTTATTTTTGTAAGGTTTATAATAAGAGGTTACTATTATCACATAATAAATGATTACTGTGATTACATAATAATAAGTAATAATTGTGATCAATTGAAGGCCAAAAAGTTGGATAACCCAGAATATCCATCAACTGACGGATGGATAAACAAAATGTAGTATATCCATACAATGGAATGTTGTTCAATAATAAAAAGTATGAAGTACTAAGACATGCTACAAAAACCTCAGAAACGTTATACTAATTCAAAGAAGCCACACACAGAGAAAAAGGAACTCTCCTCCATTGTTGGTGGGAATGTGACTTGGCACAGTTACTATGGAGGACAGTATGGAGGTTCCTTAAAAAACTAAAAATAGACTGACCATATGATCCAGCAATCTCACTCCTGGGCATATATCTGGAGAAAAATATAATTTGAAAATGCACCTCAGTGTTCATAGCAGCACTATTTACAGTAGCCAAGACATGGAAACAACCTAAATTCCATCAACAGATGACTGGATAAAAAAAATGTGGCATATATAATACATATATATATATAATGGAATATTACTCAGCCATAAAAAGACTGAAATAATGCTATTTGCAGCAGCATGGATGGACCTACATACTCTCATATTGAGTGAAGTAAGTCAGACAGAGAAAGACAAATATGATATCACTTTTATGTGGAATCTAAAAAAAATGATACATATTCTATTTACAAACCAAAAACAGACTCACTGACATGGAAAACAAGCTATGGTTAACAAAGGAGAAAGGGCAGGGAGGGATAAATTAGGGATTGAGAATTACCAGACACATATTACTATATGTAAAATATATAAACAACAAAGACCTATGTATAGCATAGGGAATTGTATTCAATTTCTTATAATAACATATAATGGAAAGGAATCTGAAAAGAAAAAATATATATGTATGCATGTGGATAACTGAATCACTTTGCTGCACACTTAAAACTAACACTGTAAATAAAATAAATTAAAAACCTGTCTCATGGGTGCCAACCACACCAAACTACCACATGAGTCCCTACTGTGGATCTTAAGTCAGGAAGGAAAAGAGGCAGCATAAGAACTTAAATTCAGAGTTGTCAACTCTATCTGTTTAAAACCTAACTCTATCCTAGGTTATCTAAGAATGCTTCTTTAGAGGCCCAAATCAGAATTAATCTCTGATTTTCTCATACTCCTATAAATTTTGTAACATGTGACAAAGCCATCCTAGTTTAACCCTCTGACCCTTTGAGATATTTTTTAATTGAAGTATATTTGATTTACAATGTTGTGTTAGTTTCAGGTGTACAGCAAAGTGGTTTAATTATAGGTATACATATTTATTTTTTTTCATATTCTTTTTCATTACAGGTTATTACAAGATATTGGGTTTAGTTCCCTGTGCTATACAGTAGGTCTTTGTTGAGGAGATTTAAAGTACTGTATGCTCTATATGACAACTCAGTGTAACAGAAAACAAGTGTTATATAAAATTGCTTAAAAAATGCTTTCTCCCTGCCAAATGAAGCTTTCCTCTTATGCTTCCAAAATTCCTATGCACTGTCATCTTCCAAGAAAGTTCAGTGTGAGAATAGCATGGTTTCCTTTTATCTCAGTGAAGATTTTCCTTATGCAAAATGTGAAGGCTCCTAGGCAGTTATTTTCAAACAATGGCATCCTTTCAGGCCTTGTTCTCCAAACTTCTACAGCAAAAATAGTGTAGTTCTATTATATGTTGTTGTCAGGGAACATATAGCAAGGTAGAGAGAGATGAGCAAGAACACAGCATGTTGTCCAGAAATGAAGATCAACCATACCTACTGCAAATCACCAAGTGAGCTAGAGTGAACTTTGGTGCAAAGAGAAACCTGTAGGTTTTAAAACAGGAAATGCAGAAGTGATATCATCAAAAATGATAAAGTAGGAGATATCAGCCTTCATCCCCCGACCAAAAAAAAAAAATTTACTGCCATCCATGAAGGAAAATAGCCCTGGGAGGACTCAAGAATCCACTTAAGAACCTACACCAACACAGAGGAGCAAAACATAGAGAATAACCACACAGAAAGGGTCACTATGGGGATCAGCTTAGCTGAGATGTCTGGAGAGAGCTAGGAAGAAAGAAGAAGGGTGAGGGCTATCAGAATCAGTCACATGGCAAGAACTATTACAATCTTCAGTGGCCTGCTCTGGGGAGTACTCCAGCAGCTTTGGCCTCTGAGGACCTCAACAGCCCCTGTGAGAGTCATGAATTCCTTGCAGCTTTCATAGTGGAGGACCCTGCAGTGTTTGTCAGTGCAGACTATAGCAGCATGCTCTGCAGGTGACACTTGCAGCTTTCACCACTGAGATAAACCAACAGTCATCACTGTCACAGACCCCCCAGAAAGGGACATGCTGCTGCATCCCCTCATAAGTAGCTGCTGTTGTACTACCCCAGGACAAAGTCTGCCCTTCTCATCCCCATGCATTCTCCAGACCCCAAGGCATGGTTACTCTGCATGCACTTGCACTTCAGAACATGCCCGTGTTTAGAGCACTGAAGCCACGTCTGTTGCAGGCTAGCCAGCACCCTAGACCCCAGAGCCACTATTACTTCGTGAATGCCTGCACTTCAGACCCCTGCTCCGAGGCTGCTCAATAGGTTCATAAACACCGGATCAGTACCACCACCACAAGAGTACCTATGAGCTGGACCTAATGCTGAGAGGAATTCCCTAAGCCATGACATCTCCCATGGGATAAAAAGAGATCAGGAAGTCCCCAGCAACCTTTGACACTGAAGACACCCAAAATGTTCACCACCCCTGTGGACCCCCACAAACTTGACCATTGAAGACACCTTCAATCTTTTCTGAAACTGGCCTCAGCTGACAGAGGTGTATGGAGACTGCACCTCTGAACTGTTCCTGGAACCAGATCCATGAAACTCCACTCAGCCAGAGTCCTGACATCCACCAGCTGGTGAAGGCCTTTCCCCAAAAAAATCAGTCCATAAAGTCTGGAAGAGGTAACTGCTCCATGAAAGGCACAGACATTAAAGCAAGGCTATGAGAAACAACAACAACAACAACAACAACAACAACAACAACAACAAATCAAGGAGACATGACACCACCAAAAAATACAACAATTTTCCAGTAACCAATTCCAAAGAAATAGAGATCTATGAATTGCCAGACAAAGAATTCAAAATAATTATCATTTGAAATTATCCAGAGGAGAAAAAATTTTAAAAGAATGAAACAGAGTAAAGAAAGCCTTTGTGAATTATGGGACAATGTAAGGTGAAACAAAATTAACATTATTTGAGTCTCAGAAGAAAGAGAGAGAGAAAAGGGGGTAGAAAGCTTATTTTTAAAAATAATGGATGAAAACTTCCCAAATTTGGGGATGGATATGGAAATCAGGTACATAAAGCTCATAATTTCCAGTACAGATTCAACCCAAAGAGGACTTCAATGAGACACATTAAAATAAAATTTTCAAAAATCAAAGTCAAAAAGACAAATTTCCTGAAAGCAGTAGAGAAAAAAAAACTCATCTCATACAAGGGAATCCCCATAAGGCTATCAATAGATTTCTCAGCAGAAATTCTGCAGACCAGGAGAGAATGGGATGACATATTCAAAGTGCTGAAAGAAAAACTGCAAACCAGTAATTTACTCAGCAAAGCTGTCCTTCACAAATGAAGGATAGTCTTACCCAAACAAACAAAAGGTACAGGAGTGCATCACCACTAAACCTTCTTCATAAGAAATGTTAAAAGGAGCTCTTCAAGCTAAAATGAATTGATGCTAACAACATAAAAGTATAAAACTCATTGGTAGAGGTAAGTATGTAAGTAAAATTCAAAAGACTAAAATTTTAAGTGGGGTAAAAAGATTAAAAGGTGAAAATATGAGAAATAACTATATCTACAATAATTTTTAATGCACATACAATATAAAACACTAGAAATCAACAACAGCAGGAAAGCCAGAAAATTCACAAATATGTGGAAATTAAACAATACATTCCTGAACAATCAATGGGCCAGAGAAGAAATCAAAAAAGAAAATTTTTTAAAAACCTTGAGACAAATGAAAATGAAAATGCAACATACCAAAATTTATGGGATACCAAAAAAGCAGTTTTAAGAAGGAAGTTTATAGCAATAAAAAGCCTACAGTAAGAAAAAAGAAAGATTTCAAATAAACAACCTAACTTTACATCTCATGACACTAGAAAAAGAAGAAAAAAATTAAGAACAAAGTCAGCAAAAGGAAGAAAATAAAAATCAGAGCAGAAATAAAGACTATAAAAATGATCAAAAAGATCAGTGAAACTAAGAGCAGTATTTTTTTGAAAGATAAACAG